ATATAGTTTGGGGCGGTCCTGCTTTGAGCAGGGGGTTGGACTAGATGACCTCCTGAGGTCCCTTCTAATCCCAGTTTTCTATGATTCTATGATATCCAAGGTTGGGGGAGCTGGGGTGTCACACTGTGACCTTGACTTTGGCAAGGCTTTTGAAATTGTCTCCCATAATACTTTCTTTAATAATAACAGACTAGATGAAAGTAATGTAATATGCAAGTGGTTGGATCATCATACTCAATGAGTAGTCATCAATAACTTCATGTCTAGCTGAGAGAAGGTATCAAGTAGGGCTCTCCATGGATTTGTCCTGGGTCCAATATTGTCTAATATCTTTGTTAATGGTTTGGAGAATGGGATTGAGAGCATGCTTAGCAAATTTGTGCATGACACCAAGTTGGGTAAAGTTGCAGGCATTACAGAGTGTAGGATCCAGAATGATGTGGATAGACTGGAAAAACTGTCCAAAATCAATCAGGTTAAATCCAACAAGGACAAATGCAAAGTCTTGCACTTGGGATGGAATAACTGCATGCAAAAATGAAGCCTGGGGAATGACTGGCTAGGCCGCAAGACTTCAAAGAAGGAACTGGGGCTCACAGTGGATCAGAAGCTGAATGTGTGTGTTCTTGTTGCAAAATAAATAAATAAATAAAATTCAACAGCATACTTAATTTTATTAACAGAGATGTGTCCTGCAAAGCAAGGGAAGTGAATCTGCCACTTTGTTTAGCATTGGGGAGGTCTCACCTGGAGCCCTGTATCCAGTTTTGGGCTCCCTGCTTCAAGAAAGACATGGACACATTAGAATGAGTTCAATAGAGAATGACAAAAAAGATTAGAGATCTTGGAAATATGACTTACGAGGCTGGAAGGACTAGGATTGTTTAGTTTGGCAAACAGAAAACTGAGGGACCATTCAGTAACAGTCTTCACATACCTGAAGAGTGGCTATAAAACAGATGAAGATAGACTATTCTCTATGACTGAAGGAACAGGACAAGGAAGAATGGACTCAAGCTGCAGCAGAACAAGAACTTTCTGACTATGAGGGTGGCTAAGCACTGGAACAGGTGACTTAGGGAAGTCTCAGAATCCTCTCCTTGGAAAGTTTCAAAAGTAGTTTAGAAGTACACTTGACTCACATGGTTCACTCAGGAATAATTCGTCCTTGAGCAGGCAGTATGGATTCATGGGTTCCCAAACTCTGACAGATTACGCACCACCAATTTAAAATGATACAACCTTAAGTACTACCAGCAAATTTTGTCATATAAAGTAATTATAATAGATATGTTAATGTGTTCCACTGACAGGTTGTCTGCGTACCACTGGTGGTACCCATGCCACAGACTGGGAACTGCTGGAGATAATCTGATCTCATGAGGTTTCTGCCAGCACTTTCCCCATGATTCTGCGCATTTCAGTGTATACAAAGAAACAAAAATATTTTAAAAGTCTTCTATATCTAGAAACAGAACAGAATAAACCTTGAATAAAACTTAGCAAATTCTAAATCTAGGCTTTCCAAATAGGCCCTATGGCACATAGAACATGAATACTGTAAACACTTGCAATTTAATGACTCATTCTTCTAGTTGCATGACCCATAGGGCATTGTACAAAGCTCTACTCAAACTTAATTATTGCAAAAGCCTGAAAAAATATGCCTACGTAAGTGTTTTGCCCCTTTGTCAATTAATTTTGACAGAATATACCCACTGAGCTGAGAGAGAGGAAAAACTTCAAATAATATTTTATCCATTTGAGTTAGAGTATACGTGTGTAGAATATAGTTAGGAAAACACAAAGTTTGTTTCCACATATAATATTATTTAAAAATTTGCTTGTAAATTTCTTAAACTTCTTTTGGGTAACAATTTAGTGATAATATTTTTTTTCCTAGCAGATTACAGATATTGAACACATGGGCTAGGGACAGACATTCAAAAAGCCAGAGCCTGACTTGATTCCATCTTTGCAGGTTAGTCTAACCTGCCTAAATTGAACCAATTTGCAAGTGAATAGACATTCATTGTTAACTCTAGAAATGCAGGCACATGCCTGCAGTGGCTCAGGCCAGAAGCCAGGGGGGTGCTAGAGTAACCCTCAGCTGGAGGGAAGCTGTGCTGGGGGGGGCGGGGGAGGAGTATGGACAGCCCCTGCTGTAACCTGGAGTGAACTGGCCAGGAAGGGGGTTTAATTTCCCCCTCCGCATCCCACCATCACGGACCCAAGCCAGGGATTTGCCGGGCACTCCCCTTTTGCTGCTGCAGTGGCGGGGGTGCAGCCAGATGCCAGCAGCATGGCCCCCTGAGGCAAAGGGGGCAGGGAGTAGGCTTATACCTCCAGACCGCCACTGCTGATCACTCCCTGAAGAGGGCAAGAGATGGGATAAGCCCCCTCCTACCCTCTTTGCCAGCTGCCGGAGAGAGGGGGGAATAGCGCCTCTCCCTACTCCCTTGTGTAAGGGCCCCTGCCAGCCAGCCTCTAGCCACAGCCCCACCCCTGGAGCAGCAAGGGGGCTGCTAGTAAATATATATATTATTTGTGTTCATGGAGCAAAAAGAGCTCAAGAAAAAATGCAAAATTATTTTTCTGTCTTAGAAAATAACTAAAATGTTATTATCAAATTCGGTTTTGGGGAGTGTGATCCATACATTCCTGTGAGAGTTACTGTACTGAATGCAAGATTTGACCCAAAGTGAGATTCTAAAGGTGTTACTCAGAGGGTTAAAATAAAGACAATGAAATCCTGTAAATCTAATTTTTTTTGAAAATGCATTTTAGTTTTTAAAAGTCAAATTTTGATCTTACAAGCACAGAATGAGTAAAAAAGGAACGTGATGGTCCCAGTTACGCAGCTAGATGGGATGTACTTGGATTGGCCAGGGGTTACCTTGTGTTTGTTTGTGCATAGAAGAGTGGTCTGTGACTGGAGTGTAAATGGAACGGCTATACAAATAAGGATAGGCACTAGATAGAAAGGAAGAGTTCTCAGTCACATGCACAATAGCCTAGTACAGTGGCTGGCAAACTTTTCAAGCTACAGGATGGAACAATGCAGCTTCAGTCTGATGTGAACCAGGTTGCTTCTGTGGCACTTCAGCATCAGAGGACTTTTTCTGTACCCAAGCCAGGGCCAGGCAGCTGAGAGCTGAGCCCATGCTATGGCTGCTTCTCTCAGCCCTGCTGCTCTCCAGTTGGGGTGCAGGTATAGCATCCAACTGTGTGGACCTAGGCCAGGGCTGGGCAGCTGGAAGCTGCATCCCCACTGTTACCACTTCTGTGCCACATCTGGGAGGTGGCAGAGGGAAGAAGTAGTGGGGAGGGAAGAAGGGAGGGAGAAGGGTCAACAGTATGGACGCAGCTTCCAGCTGAACAGCTACAGCAGGACTCCCCACCAGCTGGAATCTATGCCCATACTGTTGCCAGGGAGAGGGTAGGGGGCAGGGAAAAGCAGCAGCAAAGGCACCTGGAAGGCAGTTGCCTTGTCCCACCACAGCCCCTCAATGCTTAGCCCTGGTGCAGCTGCAGGCATAGGCAAAGCCCTTGGGTTCTGCAGACTGGATCTAGTGGTTCCAGGAGCCAGATCTGGCCCATGGGACACATGTTGTCACTCCATGCTCTAGTGGGTTTGAAGTTGCTTGTAGAGCCTGCACTTGAAAAGGGATATGGATTTGGTTTATTGTTTTCCCAACATGCACTGGTTGGCTGTTCAATGTACGTGCATGCTGTATAAAATAACCAAACCCTTATAAGTCAGGCCACTGAGCCTTATTCCAGTGCAGACTTTTCATGCAGTTCTGCTCCCAGATGTTTTGAAATATACAGAGTTCAATCACTGGATTGTAATTCATTATAAACATAATGGGCTCAAGATTGTGACATTCAAAAGAATGATTTCAATTACAGTGAATCAAAGGACAGCAAAGCCACTTCTTAAGGGAGGTATGTGTTAATCTTGCTTTGTGTTCAGATGACGGCTTTGCAAAGCAAAATGGAATACAGGTGAAAATTTACAATTATCTGGCATGAAAGTAATGGAGCACCTGCACCAATACTGAATTACCATGTTAGGTGTCTAATTAGAAACAAACAAATTAAGAAAAATTAAGAAAATAAATTAAGAAAAGTATATGTTTTGATATCAGCTTTAATAGAAAATTTGCTTTTAATTACCACATGATCTAAATAATTAGTTTTCCATGTGAAAGTGTTTCATTTTGTATTAATGTAAATCTGTATTAGCACATATTCCTGAAAATTGTCTTGTAATTGTTTTATAGTAACTTAAAAAAATTCCAGTAGGTTGCAGAACCCAAACCAGTAAGATCACTAACAAGATCATCTTTTGAAATACCTAAGATCATTTAAAGAATACCACGTTTTTTAAATTACCACAGCAGAGGTGCTTAAAATGTTAAACCTTACGGCATAAAAGCTCTTTGATAATATTTTGGATTTTTCTTAGATGCACATCAAAAGGAAATTTGAGAACCTTCAGTAATTATTTTTAAAGGGAAGCCAGAAGCTCTGTTGATAAACTGAGTCAGTGGTGCCCAACCATCCAATCCTGCGACCAGCTGAGTGGTGCAGGTTTGGTCCACAGGCCAGATGAGGTCTGGGATCCATTCCAGTGTGCAAGGCTGAAACCTGAACCAGTACATGGGGCTGGCTCTGTTAGGGCCTGATCTGGTGTGTGGGGCCAGGTTGGCTATGATCTGATCCAGTGCAGGAGGGCAGGGCAGCCAGGGCCCAATCCAATATATGCAAGTCACTCCAGCACATAGCTCCAGTCCTGCATACCAAATTAGGTCGCATCCCCATTTGCCACCAAATGCTGGACCCATTAGGAGACCCCCCCTGGTGGTGGCGTAACTCTGTAGGCTGGAGGTCAAGCACCACAGAGCTCAGTAGTTGAGAACAGTACTTTTTTCATGCTTCATAGAGCATACTAATCAAAGCAAAAATACTTAATATTCTGTTGGCTACTTGCTCACCTGATTCTTGAGATCCAATTTTGGACATGGACGACCTCCATTATAAGGCTTTTCTTTCAGCCACTTTGACCTTATTTTCATCCCAGTTCCACAAGATGAACTGCAAGGGGCCCAGCTAGACCAGTCACTTAGCTTGCAATCAAATGGACAAGGCACTATACAAGCTTCTTCAATGTAACCTAAAAACAAAAATTCAGGGAAAATACTTTAGTTGACCAACAAGATATGAGTTGTTGACCCCTAATTTCTCAGCAAAATCTACATAATGCTTTCAAAGCTATCGAACAGATATATATCACGGAAAGAATTAAGTCCATGGATGTGAAACAATGCATGCTGAAGGTGCTTTTCTTGACAATGAGCTCATTTAGTCTCTGCCTTTTGGCTAAGATCAAGTGTGAGCTAGGATTCATTAAAAAATTCAACAGTCTCATGGTGGACCCAATAAACTTAAATAACATTAAAGGGATACAGATTTACACTTAAAAGAAGTACAGGCAACCCTTGCCATTCATGGGGGATATGAGGACATATCCCCCGCGAATGGCGGAATCTGCAAATAAGACACTGCGTTCATGAATGCAATGCCCCCAGCAGCTGGAGGGGCGGGGGGCACAGCGGTGATGGCAGGAGCCCAGCAGCAGCAAGCTCCCAAGGAGCTCCTGTAAGTGCATAAAGTGTATTTAAAATGTGGGTTTGGCATTCATGAATATCTGAAACCACGAATGCCGAACCCGCGAATAGCGAGGGTTTCCTGTAACTGTTTGAAACTGTACCAGCCACTAGGCAGCAATTATGTATCCTTACAGGAAACCCTAGCACAAATCAGTTAGCTCTGGTGCAATGTGTAAACATCTTGGGCATTTTTGCATGTGCTATGGGATGTGGCACTGGGCGCTTTAGCTGCACTAATTAAAAGTGCCTGCATGTCACATGTATTAGCATCCCTGTGTGTTCCCCTGCTGAAAAAATGGCAACATGGTGCTTTAAACTAAAGCTCATTGAAGGTGTTTTATTTCAAAGTGCACCACTGCCATTTTTTTAGCAGAGGTGGCCTGGAACACTGATGCACATGACGTGGAGGGCTGCCAGAGTATGTCAGTTTCCATGCTCCAGGAGACTGTATTAATCAAGTCTGCTCTGATTAATACAGAAAATTACAGAAATACAGAAATTACACTGGATTTCCAGCATGTCGGAGTAGGCTCTGCACATGTGTATATGTGACGGGGGCACACTCGAGGCCAGATCACAAGTCAGGCTGCCCACCTGCCTAGGGCAGTCTGCCTTAACTCATGTGCCACGACTTGAATGTTATTATGATATAATAAGCAGGAGGCTGCCCTTACATTACTCTGATGCCAGGGGATGCTATCCACAGCTCCATACCTCCCCTACACCATTGCCCATGCCTCGCAGATGGCATCCAGATTGTGATTGCTCCCCGGTCTGAGGCTGGGGCAAATTCAGTCCAACACTGGACTCCATTTACACACACACTCACTCTGCTCCCCCTTTCACAGGGGCCTCTAACATACCGCCCATTTCTGGGCCACACTCCCCTGCCCTTGCTCCCCTTGAGTAGCCCCTTTGGGCTTCACTACTTGCGCCTCAGTGGGAGACATGCAGCCCTTCAGTTCCCTTAAGGTCCGCTATTCTATGTGACCTCGCCTTATGCCAAACACCAGGCTGACTCCGTTCCCTTAAGGTCCGCTATTCTATGTGACCTTGCCCTATGCCAAACACCAGGCTGACTCTGCCCTGGGCCCCTCACCAGACCTCTTGACTCTGTTCTCACTCATAGGGGTTGGCCCATGTACTGTCCTTCAGGCTGCTCTCGCAGCCCTACTCAGTACCCCCCTGGTTCAGCCCTTCAAGCCCCCTTCAGAAGCCCTACTCTACACCCCCACACATGCAGTCCTTCAAGTTCCCCTTTTTGCACCCTACTCTGTGCAGGCCCTCACCATAACTCTTCCCAACAACACTGCCCCCTCCAGGACCTCTGGGACCTTTTGTCCCTGCTGGGCTCAGGTGCTTATTAATGGGTGAGCTTGACCCCACTGATCCCACAGCTCTCACAACTACTCACCAGATGGTGGGGGCCAGGTTTAAGGTGCCCATAGTCGTGGCCAGGACCAGGACCCTCCAAACCATCCCCATAGCTCCTGCCCTTACCTCCAAGATGTTCCTGAGCCATAGCTCAGCCTACTGATGTTTCTCTCTCGGCCACTGGCAGCAAACTGCTGCCTCACCCTATATAAAGTGGGTCTTAAAATGGCCACCTAATCAGGCACCTGCCAGATGTCTGCCTCTAGTCCTTAAAGTGGCAAGCACCCAAAGGTGCGCTGCCACAGTATAGGAGCCCCTTAAATCTAAATTTACATCGTGTTATCTGCTTTTGGTCACTGGGGTGGAACTAGTTGCCTATATGTGTTCTTGCTTATTATACTACAAAGTACATTCTCCCTGAAGTTTTATTCAATTATTTTCATGTCTCTGGATGTTATTTTGGTTTAAACAAAAAGAGATTTTTTTAGGTATGTAGCCATAAAGGGTATAACTGGCCACAATAGCACCTCACTGGCTACTAGGATCAGGCAACATCACAGAAGGGTCATACCCTGGGAAACAGCCAAGAATATGCACCTGGAAAATTTGTTGCAAACAGCTGACTATGACTATACTCTATCTTTGAGCCCGTTCATTTTCCATATTCTCACTTTTCCATTGAGATTTTCATTCCATCTAAGTTCTCTACACATTATTTGCACAATAAAGTGCTGATCTGCTTATTCTAGTGATTATACTACTGCTCCATTAATTTCATGTGATACTCCTGGCAGGACTTCCTAGCCAATAACTGATACCAGAATTACCATTTCCCCTTTCAGGTACAAATCCTTGGCTCTGGACAGGAAGAGGACTTCAGTTTTGTAGTTGCAAAAAGGTGCATTAAAGAGGTCCTTGTACCCGCTGGCATTATGGACACAGATAGGCACTTATCCCAAAGCTTACTTTATTAAATTTAACAAGAAGATAATCCTCTTATCTGTCAAATGTGCACCTCATGGAACTTGTATGACAGCATCTGAAAACCTACAGTGCAAGACAAAATCCACATGACAGAATCAATGCCTACCATCCTGCATTTTTTTAATAAAAAGCTGAATGGTCAAAAGTCAAGAAGCAGCTAGTGACATATTGCTGCATAAGCACTGTGTTGATGTGAGAGAAACAGCATATACAGAGAGAAAACAGACTTACTGTAAATTGCAATTGTTTCTATTTTACATCAATGTGATACTGAAGTAGTAAAGCAAGCTCTCTGCTTGAAGAAGGAAGAGAGTTGCGTACCATTACTTAGTTATGGAGGAAATGACTTGACAGCCTGTGGCTCATCCTGGGCTGATCCACCCACCTCACTACGTCTGACCACCTTCCAGGCTCCAAGTGCTTCCCTGGGGCACCTCACGTCTGGCTGACCCCCTTCCTGGAGCACACCCACCAGCCTGGGAGTATAGCTGCCACCACCCAGGGACAGGCTTGATCCTGGCATTGTTCCCCCTGGGAAGCACAGGCCTAGTAGCCCTCGAGGGTACTTGACTCACTTCAAGAACTTGGGGTGCTTCCCTCAGTCAGAAGCACAAGTAGTGGTCTCCCTTAGTCAGCCGAACCAAGAGGACTCCTAGGCATAATCTAGACCCACTCCCAATAAGTCTCCCATGCTAGGTACAAAGGAGAACTTTATTGGTTACAAGGTGTAGGGTTGGAATAGGGTACAGAGTTGAGTAGTATCAGAGAAATCCCATAAAGCAAACAGGGTGGCTGGGGTAGCATCTGAGTTACTGCAAGCTATATATCTAGTTAGGTCTCAGGTAGCTTACTCACAAGTATCATCCAGAGGCAGTTGGAGATTCCCTCTGGAGGCAGGCAGTCCATTGATCATGAGTTGAGAGAGAGCATGTTTCGCATGGTCCAGCTCTTCTCTCTCTCTCTCTAAGTTTTCATCATGGCTACTGCCCCTCCTCCTGAGCAGTCCTTAACTTATATAGCCCTTATGACCTCATTTACCTGGTCCAATGGATGCCAGCACCTGTTGGCTGCCAGCTAACCAATTTGAAATGCATCACTGGTTGCCCGCCAGACTGGCAGAGTCTCTAGAAAAACTAGGGAGCCCAAGCCCCTCACCCAGGTATGTGATGCCAGTCACATAGAAAAGAGGGAGCAGGTTTCCCCCCTCCCTCAGGGAGGTATCCAACTCAGGTTACCAAAAGAGATAGGATAAAGTGTGTACTCTCTGCAGGGCCCATACTAACCAAATTGTCACAGAGCAGAGTTTTTGGAGAGAAACAAAGGTAGCCTTCTGCCACACAGCCGTCATAAGATATGTTAAACTGTTGATGTATAAATCATTTAAAAAGCGCCTGAGCAGGGACCTGAATGCTGGACTACACCTTAGGGGTGAATGTGGGTAGGTCCTGAATGGAGTTAGGTAACTCATTTGTCCTAGAAGTAGGTGCTTATTTCTGGAAAGAGATGGGAACAAAGTGGTACCTTGCTCTACAAAGTTTCTCCTAGACAGCTCTGTGCTGTGAATCTCACTTTGTGGTGCCAAACTGTCTCCATAACTTGTGTATGGAGTTTAGGTCCCTAAATCAGAGCTATTGGTTGTATTCCAGAAGCCAGACATTGCAATCCTTTTGTAGATCTAGGCTTCTGTTACTTGCTAAGGGTTATGTGGGAAGTTTATTGTGAAAGAGTATTGAACAGTGCACTCCTAGGCTAGCAATCAAACCACTAATCCATCTTCCTTCAGAAAATGGAAAACAGCTTCCAAAAAAAATTTCATGGAATGTTTTTTCCTTCTTTCTTACTAAAATTTTTGTTCTGACAGGAATTTTTCAGTCAGTTCTTATCTGGCCAGGATTGCTAAATAATACCCTGAAAACCCTCTCCCTCGAGCTGATTATGTCTCTATCATGAGGGACTTCCCAAGGTGAGTCATAGTAGTGAAGAAGACCAGAAATTGGCTCTCCCTACAGCCCATCAACAATGCTTCTGAATAATCTGGATATATCACTGCCAAACCATGGATGATTCACCCTCCCCAGTGGCAGAGACAACTGACTTCTTCCTGTTCAAGGAGATTATACTAAGTCTTAAACTTTGATTTTAAGGT